AAACATTTTTAATGCCAGCTCTTCTTTTGTTTACATTCTGCTGTCAGTGGAGAATCCAACAAGTCATGGTTGTTAGGGATGTGACAGGTACCGGCTCCTTAACAACCAGCTACTTACTGGTTGTTAAGGACGCTGGTAAGTGCCGGCGTTAAAATGTAAAACGTTTTCACCAAAGCATCACATTGTTTCAAGAAATAGTGAAGTATTTTAGTAGAATTTTTTAGTGAATGACAAAAAAAATAGCATGGGTTGATGACGCCATAAGGGGTGGCCCCAGGTGGTGATGCCACCCATTAGTTCATTTAGTGGTGGGTAGGCGGCAGAGCTGTCATTTGGCAAGAGCCAAGCGTCGGTACAGTTCAGGGTTTTTTTTCGTGTTGGTCGGTGGCCAGCATTCATTGTGATTGACAACGGATATACTTTGGGGGACATTTATATTTTTGCCTTTTGTCAAAAAACTGTGTTTGATTATACTTTGCACATTTTTATGGTGAATGATTAGAGGTACTATGTGCTCCATACTCATTCACATGGGGGAGGGGATCTGGGGCCCCCCATGATTTTATTTAGGTCAGCACTTCCCTTGTTTACAATTCCACTGACAGCAGATAAGACATGGTTATTAGGGACGTGGCTTTCACTGGCTCCTTAACCACATCGTGAGGAAAGTATTGCTGATAACCGGCAATTTTCAGAGAACACATTGGCACTGATGATCAGTGCCCAGCAGTGCCGCCTACCAGTGCCCAGCAGTGCCACCCACCTGTTTCCAGCAGTGCTACCCACCAGTGCCCATCAGTGCTGTCTATCCGTGCCACCTCATCAGTGCCCATCAGTGCTGCCTATCAGTACAGCCTCATCAGTGCACATCAGTGAAGGAGAAAAATTACCTGTTTGAAAAAATTTATAATAGAAACAAAGAAAAACTTTTTTCTTTAATTTTTTGCTATTTTTTTGTTTTAAGTGCAAAAATTAAAACACCCAGTGGCGATTATATACCACCAAAAGAAAGCACTATTTGTGCGTAAAAAAATGATAAAAATGTCATATGGCTACAATGTTGCATGACCGCGCACTTGTCATTCAAAGTGTGGCAGGGCTGAAAGCTGAAAATTGGCTGGGCATAAAGGGGGTATAAGTGTCTGGTAAGCAAGTGGTTAACAACCTGCTATTTTACTGGTTGATAAGGATGCCGACTCCTTAACAACCAGTTAAAATGAAACACATTCCTTAACAATTGCATGCCTGGACCACTATTAAAGTAATGCATTTATTTATTTATTTCCTTTAATGTATTAACTTTAATGCCTTTTTATGCGGTATTTACTTAAACGTTTTTTAGATAAATACCACATAAAGGGATAATAAATTGACATTTTCAGCATTGCATGTGATATGCGGGAAAAATGTGTCAGATCACCTAAATACTGCATGCGATCGGCTATAGTGAATGGAGCCCAGTGTACTGCCACTTTGCACATGCAGTGTTGAGCATTAAGAAAGAGCAAATGATGAAACATCCACTGGTGATTTAGATTATTGCTTTGTGGTAGTAGGTTCAAATGGTCAAAAGTGGTCCATTTAGAACATTTAGAAGTTCACTAACAGGCAGAAAGCACAGCAGACCTCCAAACAAGAAGCCCTCTCTTCTAACCTATCCCTTGTGAGACCTCCTGTGATATCAGAAGTCTGAAAGAAAGAAGGACTTCCTTATATGATTCTATCCAGTAGATGCTTTAATATTTGAGCAGAGATGACACACAGGGTAACCTGGGTTACAAATTAACAAAGGTATGGCCTTTCATTAAGTCATTTTGAGAGTAGGTGCAGGTTTTACATTTATCTCATTTCCTTGATAGAAGATGCTAATCTTCTGATGGAAGCCATGCAGATTCATGAAGCTCATACACACAGCAGAGTAGAGGAGGCTCAGTATTGGTAGCCAAAGACCTGAAATGATGGTCAAAAGATCTGACTGCCAGTTGGATCCAGGGAAGCAGATACATATGCAGCTGAAATGCATACATTGCAGGTAGGTTTGTGCAATCATTTACCCTCTCTTGCCTCCCCAATACTGCACAACCAACTGCTCAACTTCCATTGCAAGAGAAAAGCCAGGTCAAGAACACACTGCTGATTGGACAGTGAAGAATGAACAGCACACTGGTGAGTCAGCACTCAGCTCTTGCTTGATGTTAGTATTGTCACTGTTAGCACATGAGTGCTAGGCCCAAGCCTGATTGGCTACCAGAGCTAGCCATCCCTCTCTCATTGGTGATGCTGTTTTATAGGGGGATTACAGAAGGCTAGTATCAAGGCAAATTTTGTTTCTTCAACTAGTTGCATTTAAAATTGAATTTCCCGATTGCGTTGCAGAAGAATCCCAGGTATGAATATTTTTTCATAGTTACTTGGACCAATGTAAGTATGCATATGCCATACCTGTGGAATCCCTCTAGAAGTTGGAAATCACTTCAGTAGACATCCCTACTACAATGTACAGTGATCTCCTAGATTGTAAGCTCGAAAGAGCAGGGCGCTCAAAAACTCCTCGTGTATTGTTTTGTTACTGTACTGTCTCATGTACTGTCCCCCACTATAATGTACAGCGCTGAGCAAACCTTTTGGCGCTATATAAATATTGTATAATAATAATAATCTCCACTAGCTTCCAGGTCGCGGTCTGATCGGCGGTCCTGCTGCATTGCAAACACAGGAAATCTCTTTGGAGTTTTTGCAATAAATGCAAAGTGTTCTCTAATATGTAAAATTATCCATACCTGAAATTCTTCTTGAACTAATCCAAGTAATTGATTTTGTTACATCTGCTCACAGCTCTGTTTTAATTAATTAAAGCTCTTTCAAGTTTCCAGTGGAATGTATTATGTTCATCAGCAGTCTGACCACACACTTCACACCAGACTTTTCCTCTGTGGAAGATGAGGAATTAAAGTGTGTGTGAGCTCAGTGGGAATAAAGAATGGGGGTTGGGACAAGGAGAAAAAAATGAGTGTGCACATCTTTAAATACTCAGGGCCGAATCTGACACCGCAGCGTCAGTGAAATCCTGCTCGTTCTCTCAGGATGGGTGGCAGCAGGTGACACCTGTTCCAGGAAAAATACGGATAGAAAAAAAAAAAACTTCACCCAGGGCCCTCATTCACTTTGCAAAGGCTGGATTAAATCAAAGGGCAAAGAGGATTGAGTACTTTGTGTCATTTCTGTAATATTTATTAAGGCCTTTATGATAAAGATTTTTCGCTGTCATTTGATCCGCATGCCTGGCACACATATAACATAGCTGTCATGTGATTGGATTCACCTGGATGGCAGCCAGCGTGAATAAACTTCTATAAACATGATTTTGTTGTGGTGTGTTGTTATCTTGCTTCTAATTAACTGTAGTGCACAAATCTATTCTAGTTATTTATTCATTGCACATTTTTTTTTTTAAATAATTCTAGTATATGTACCTAAATCTGTCTATATTTTAGCTTCCTTTAAACACAACAGAACCCACCACTGTGAGCCAATCGTGGTCTACTGCATTGTACAGCAGGGTGGGGATCAGTGACAAAGCTGTATTGTTACAGAGAATAAAGATGATTTTTTTTTTCTATCTGAAGTTGCACAGACAAGAATTACTTAAAGGTGCTAAAGGTTTTTTTTTTTCTATAAAATAAGAAGCATGTCATACCTGTTCTGTGATATGCTTTAGCACCGAGTGGCCCAATCTTCCTCTCCTCGGGTCCCCTGCCGATGCTTGTGGCCCCTCCCCTTTGCTGAGTGCCCCAAACGCAAGCTGCTTGCTCTGGGGCACTCATGCTTGCTCGCTCCTGAGCCACCTCTGTGCGTGTATGGGGCGCACAGAGTTTGGCTCAGTTCCCCCCCCACTACCACCTTGCTGTGAGTGACAACAGCGGGAGTTCAGCCAATATGGAGAGAGAGACCTGGGAGAGCTGAGGCTCTTGTGTACAGTGCTGGATGAAGATCTGGCTTTGAGTATTGAGGGGCTGTGGGAGGAGATGCACACTGAATGTTTTTTACCTTTATGCATAGAATGTATGAAGGTAAAAAAAACCTTCTACTATGGGGGCTCTCAAAATTAGTAGAGTTAGGACCACAGAATATTGGGGTGCCATGACGTGGCTCTGTGGCTTACATATGTATTTGCAAATGTGTGCTAACTAAACCCCTGTTTTTAATGCATGCTGTTAGACAGGTTAATTTGGTTGTTAGTAAGCTGGCTGGCAAGTTGAGCTGGGAACTTTCTTTTCTTTTCTTGACATGCGTTGCCCGTCCATGTGTTCCTTGCTGTAAAAGCCAGTTATTGGGGCAGTGTTTTTTTGTACTGTAGCTGGCTGCACTGGACAATTGTGTTATATTGGGTCCAGTGCAACCTTTAAGGAGGGGTGGGCTCCATCAGTTCACCTGCTTTAAAACCCTGGGGGGCTTTTTGTAGAGTTAGGATGACAGAATATCAGGGTGTCGTGACGTGGCTCTGTGGCTTACCATGTATTGCAAATGTGTGCTAACTAAACCCCTGTTTTTAATGCATACTGTTAGACAGGTTAATTCGGTTGTTAGAAAGCTGGCTGGCAAGTTGAGCTGGGAACTTTCTTTTCTTTTTCGACATGTGCTGCCCATCCATGTGTTCCTTGCTGTAAAAGCCAGTTATAGACTGGGGCAGTGGCCATTTTGTGTACTAAAAAAAACCCTTCACCCTTTAAAACCATTTTAAATGAGAAATACAGCCAAAACTCGTTCTGCACTCCTGTGACCCGGTTTCAGCCGACAGCAGGCCAAAGTCCGCTGTCTGATGACATCACTCAGCCAGTCCAGGCTGGGGAAAGTTCCTGACTTTAACCGCCTCCTGTCCGCCATATAGTAATTTGATGGACACAAGGTGGTTTTCTTGTTCTGGGAGGATGTCATATGACATCCTCCCATCCTAACCGCTCATGCGCAGCTCCTGGAGCGTGCAGCATGGCGATCGGCGGTGCACTGTGTCCCTCGAACACAGCGGGTTACCGATCCACGGAAAGAGCCGAAGATGTCGGCTCAGTCATGTGATCAGCTGTGTCCAATCACAGCTGATCACATGTAAACAGGGAAATGCCGGTTATCATATTTCTCTCCCCACGAGCTGTCACGCTGACAGCTCAAGAGGAGAGCAAAGCTGGTAATCAGCATTCCACGGAGGGGACATGTACAAAGATCATCAGAGCACTGATGAACAGTGTGCCCTGATGATCTGTGTAGCCCCAGCAGCGCCACCTGTCAGTGTCCATCAGTGCCAGCTGCCAATGCCCATCAGTGCCACATTTCAGTGCCACATCAATGCCACATATCAGTGCCCATCTGAGCTGCCTTTCAGTGTCACCCATCAGTGCCACCTATCAATGCCAGTCAGTGCCACCTATCAGTGCTGCCAATCAGTGCCACCAATCAGTGCCAGTCAGTGCCGCCTATCAGTGTGCATCAGTGCTGCCTATCAGTGCCGCCTAACAGTGCCAGTCAGTGCCACCTAACAGTGCCAGTCAGTGCCGCCTATCAGTGCCATATATGAGTGCTGCCTTTCAGTGCCCATCAGGGAGGCCTATCAATGCCCATCAGTGCCACCTACCAGTGCCTCCTCATCAGTGCCACCTATCAGTGCCCATCACTGCAGCCTCATTAGCGCACATCGGTGAAGAAGAAAAATCACTTATTTACAAAATTTTATAACAAAAACTAAGAAAAAACATTTAAAAAAATTTTTTTCAGTGGTTTTTGGTTTAAGAAAAAATAAAAAACCCAGAGGTGATTAATACCACCAAAATAAAGCTCTATCTGTCACAAAAAATGATAAAAATTTCATATGGGTACAGTGTTGCATGACCGCGCAATTGTCATTCAAAGTGCAACAGCGCTGAAAGCTGGAAATTGGCCTGGGCTGGAAGGGGGTATAAGTGCCCTGTAGGCTAGTGGTTAAAGTTGGGATCCACCCAGATCTCTGGATTGGCAGCTGACTCAGTCTCTCAGTGATCTTTTTGATAGCCTGAGCCATCTGCTACTGCCACCTTCGCAGCCCAGCAATCCAGGGAGTGCTTGGGGGGGGGGAGCAGAGCAGACAGTGGTGACTGACAGTCATTGTTCTCTGCTCAGAGCGGCAGGGAGAACTGAGCAATCAGCGGTGTCTGATCACTCAATTCTCAGCCTTAGAGCAAGTGGGGGACAGATGCAGTATCAGATCGATGCTGCATCCACCTAGGTAAGTATAATTAAAAGAAAAGAAATTCCCAAACTTTAAACTGAGTATTTCTTCTTACCGTTTCTTGGATGTGGATTGCACTGATTTTATTTTTTCACCCATTTCCCCTTTATTTTAACCTGGTAATTCTGCCATGAACAACAACAGCCATAGTGACAACCATACTGAATAGCATTGTCACCCTATGGCAGGGACTACATAGCACTGTGTTAGGACTACATAACACCTCCCCCTCTTCTTCATAATAGATGTGTTTTGTAGTCCACCGAGATAGCAGGAAACAATGCTAATTAATAACAGTCCAAGGCAGAGAAAACAGGAAGATTTCAGCTGACAAAATTTCTTCAGAGGCTCTCCCATCCTTTGGAACTCCCTACCACAGTATGTCCAGTCAGCCCCCACCCTGTCTGCCTTTAGGCAAACTTTGAAAACTCACTTCTTCAGGGAAGCCTACCCCACCTCCACCGAAGAACTGTACTTGAATCACCTCCACCAGATCATCCCCCGCAGCTATCACCTTTTGTATCACCTCCCCCTTCCTTTAGATTGTAAGCTCCACGAGCAGGGCCCTCCTATTCCTTCTGTACTGAAATGTATTGTAATTGTACTGTCTCCCTTATATTGTAAAGTGCTGCGCAAACTGTTGGCGCTATATAAATCCTGTATTATAATAATAATTTTATGGTTGGATGAACAGCTATTTTTGTGTAGCACTACCCCCTTTGAGGTTGCTAGAAGATTTGGGTCCCCCTATACTCCTCCACAGCCAGGCATCACACATCTTCACAAAAGCTCGCATCCAGAGTCAGAAATCAGTCCTTGAGCTTTGGTTTTGTTGCTTTGTTTAGGGGATTTTGAACTGGGATAGGGTTAGGGGTGTACAGGATGCCCAAGGCTACTGATGAACTGAGGACAACTCCCTGGAACTATTTACATGCCTTCTCTGAAGCACAGCTTTTGTTGGAGAGCTAGCCAGCGTTTCCTTAGTGTACCACCCTAGACCCTTGATGAACTTCTCTTCACCCAGCAATCTGGAGGTATCCCTGAAGAGGGGATCTGGTTCCTGTCACCTTGAGAGTAGAACAGTAACTGGTAAGTGGCTAATCTGGTTTCCCAGAGTGCTTCCCCAGGGGCAGGGATGTATTTACCACCAGGCCTGTAGGTAGGCCCCACACTACTGGGCTTCCATCCTTCAACCTGAAATCTCCCACCTGAACTCTCCCTACAACCCTCCTCTCCACTCTCCTCTCTTCCCTCTCCCCTCTTGTGACTAAGCAGGCTCCAACACTTTTAAGGGAGTCAAGCCCCTTACCAATCTCTTGTTGGGGATTGGCTAGGATCCCTCAAAGGTGCAATCAGATACTCTTCAGATCCACTTACTGCCCCTAGGGCCTTCCTCCAAAAGCCCCAGAGCAGATGGAAATTCCAGAGGGGCTGGCCTGCAGAGCCTCTCAGCTCAATTTGACCCCTCTCTGGCTTTTACACCTGGGCTGCTGCTCATCCCCTGTCTAACCATTGGAGTCTAGTCCCCCCTAGCTAAACTAGGTGGGTGCTTCATTTGCAATAGTCAAACAGATATAATAAAATACTTCCAATGATAAATTTAACAATTCAAGGGAAACAAATAAGAGAAATTTACTTAAAGTACTTGCACATGGTACACAGAAAATTCCTGCATAAAAACTCAAGGATGGGCTGTATAATAAATGCGTGTACATGCACATGCATGTAAAAATTATTGCTTTTCTTGGGTTGTGTCATACATGCATATTTGTGTTTATACACGCGTACAATACTGTCCAGCAACACACACACACACATATATATATATATATATATATATATATATATATATATACATATATACACAGTGCTCAGATTTGTTAGAGAAACCTTTACTTTCTTTACAGAATCAACAATTTCTATGGGACACTATACTACAAAATACTCCCACACATGCAGGTCATTGATTTCAAACAAGACTTGTGAATTTGCACACACAAAAAATTATTTTTTCTAACAAATTCATTTAGGACCATGTTGAAAAAATGAATACACCCCAATGATAGTCTTAGGAGCAAAGCTAAATTTTAGATAACAAACTCCCAATGAACAAGAATTCAACTACAGGTGAGTCTAATTATTAATTAAACAAGTGTCCAGCAGACAGTTGATTATAAAAGGGCATTACTTAACAAAGCAAACCCTTTCCCATTTCATGCTGTCAGCTCATGGAAGAGAAATGTCACAAGGCTTGGGGAAAAAAAAAAATGTCTTTACACAAGAAAGGTGAAGGTTACAAGAAAATCAGCAAAGCTTTACTGATCAGTCAGAATACTGTAGCAAAAGTGATAACAAAACTGAACAAAGAACTGCAACCATCTCACAGAGACATCCACAGAAGTTAACACCTCAACAGGAGCATCTTCTGATGAGAAGGATTGAATAAATCGCCATGCAAGTTCAGTGCAGTTAGCTAAAGAGTTAGAAAGCCAAACTGGGGAGATTGTTTCCTGTGACACAATATGACGTACACTGCAGAGGAATGGCATGCTTGGGTGTTGTCCACAAAGGAAGCCTCTACTAAAGCCCATGCACAGAAAAACCCACCTGGAATTTGTCAGGGCCCATACTGAAAAAGAAGACTACTGGGACTCTGTACTTTGGAGTGATGAGATCACAATAAATGTTTTTGGAACTGATGGCTTCAAAACTGTATGGCGTCGCAAAGAAGAGTACAAAGAAAAATGCATGGTGCTTACAGTGAAACATGGTGGTGTCCTATGGGGCTGCATGAGCGCTGCTGGTGTCAGGGAGCTGAATTTCATTGATTGTGTCATGAATTCACAGATGTACCTCTTTATAATGACTGAGAAGATGCCACCATCACTCCGTGCCCTTGGTCGTCGTGCACTTTTCCAACATGACAATGATCCAAAACACACTTTTTGCATTTCTGAAGAAGAGCGAGGAGAAAGTGATTCAGTGGCCAAGTAGGTCTCCTGATCTGAACCCAATCAAACACCTATGGGGAATTCTGAAGTTTGGCATTGCTCTCCATCCAGCTTCCAGGCTCTAAAAGAGGTTGTTCTTGAAGAATGGAAAAAGATAGATGTTGCAATATGTTGCCAAGTTGTTCATTCCATGCTTAGAAGACTTGGTGCTGTCCTTACAAATCATAGAGGTCATACAAAATACTAGATGAAGTGGTTTTTGTTGTGGGGTGTATTCATTTTTCTATCAACCCATTTGAGTAAAACTAAAGATTTTGTAATCTAAGTTATATTATTAACCTTATTTTCATGTAATGAGCTAAACAAATGTTCTATAAAACTCAGTTTTGTCAACATTTAGGAAATTGTCCTTGTGTTCATCCAGATATTGATTAAAATCTTACTTTTCAAAAGGGGTGTACTCATTTTATACCGAGCTCTGTATGTATGTATGTATGTACGTGAAGGGGGGAAAATGATGTGATGAGGAGGCGCTAATGTGAAGGGGGGGCTCTTATGTGAAGGAGAGCTCCTAATTAATAGAGGGGTGCTGGTGTGATGGGGGACTCTAATGTGTAAGAGGGATTTTTATGCGATAGGGGGACTGTAATGTAAAAAAGGAACTCTGATGTAATGGGGGGACTCCAAAGTGAGGAGGGGGGGGGGATTCTGATGTAATGGAGAGACTCTGGTGTGATTTGGGAATCTGATGTGAAGAGGGGACATTAATGCAATGGGGAACACTAATATGAAGGTGTAATAGAGGGACTCTAATGTGAAATGAAGAACTGTGATGTGAAGTGGGGACACTAATGTTATGGGAGGCTATAATGTGAAGGGGGGTCTCTAATGTAAACCTGATCTTTGCTGTAATAGAGGGACGCTGATGTGATGGGGGGCTTTAATTTGAAATGGGGACTTTGGTGTGATGGGGGGTTTACAGTGTTATGGAGGAACTCTGATGTGATAGAGGGACTCCTAATATGAAAAGGGAGGACACTGGTGTGATGGGGTGACTCTGCTGGGATGGGGACTCTGATGTAATAATGGGGCTGTGATGGGAAGAGGGATGATTCTGATGTGATGGTGGAACTCTGATGTGAAGGGGGAACGCTGATGTGAAAGGGGGACAGGCGCTAAGAAGAGATGACATCATCAGTGCTGATGTCAGTGTCCTGCAGCCTAATAAATACAGTTGGGGACTAGGGTGCCTCATGATTCTGCATATTTTAAAGGGTGTTGTACCTGAAATGGTTAAGAAATGATGGCCTAACACATATGTTTCAACGCAGCCACATAGACACTCAGGAAGCTAGAGTCCTGTTCACTCCAGAAGTAATGTCAGATGTTACTTCCAGGTTGTGACTCACGGTACAGAAGGGCAGCAAGTTAACAGAGAATACTAGTTCCCTGCATCTCTGGCACACAGTGACTCACACACAGCCAGTGCCAGCAGGGAGACCTGGAGAGACAAATGTGGCCAGGTGTTGGGCTAGCAATATGGAGAAGGAGACAGTGACGTTTATTCTTTTCTCCCCCTATTGAGATACTGATCTTATGCTGCACCATTCTCCTACCTCCAGCCAGCTGGGGGAGTGCTAAGGCCTTGGAAGCACATAGACTTCTATGCAGAGCACTAAGATTCTTGGGAGTTGTAGTTTGAGATGGCACCCATATAATGGGGCCAATAGACATCTTACATTATAGCTCCCAGTAGGCACTGTGCAGTAGGAGGCGAGAGAGAGAACACTTCTGTCTTATTCACCTGCCAGTGGTAGACCATGCCAGTGGAAATTCGAGACTGGGAGTGAAGACACATGGGGGCAGTGCAACACCACCCACATCACGGCACCTGCGCTGCTGCCTCATTGAGACTGGAGCATCCTCTCACCCTCTACTTCCACAGCATAATCCCTGGATGCCTTCTATGGAGAGGAGGCCCCCCTTCTACAAGGAGAGGTCATCCAGGAACTGGTTAGAGGGCTATCTGTCCATTTCTGATACTGCTATCAGGGACTGAGACACTAAGAGCAGGACACCATGTGTTACCAATCCATTCTGTACCCATACTGAATTCTATAACGCACCTATTCTAAACCTAGACTGCACCTATACCAACCCTATACTGTGTTTATATCAAACCTTACTGCATTTGAACCACATCTACCTTGCACCTGTTCTGAGACTATACCATACCTACAGTATGCTGTACCTATGCTGCATCCAGGTTAACTGGGACTGTTGTTAAGTGCATCAATGCTCCTAAAGGGCTGCAATGATAGACGGCAGAAGAACATCTCAAAGGACTGCCATTCCCTTAATAATTATTCTGCAAGTCCCCTTTGTTTCTCTCCCCCCTCTTCTACCATTCTCCTTTTCTTTTGGACAGTGCATACCCAGTCAGTCTAGGACTTGCACTGATGCCATAAATGTCCTCTGGCAATATAGTTCCACAACTTAGTTGTCAAGTGGTGGGTAGCCTCGCGTGTGGCAATAGCAGCCGAGCCAAACCTTCAATGTAACACTAACCTTCAGACAATGTGACTTTTGCCCGATGACTCTTATCCTGCTGTCTTCCATCTCCTTCCTTCTTCCAGGCCCATCTCAGCTCTTAGCCCCAGTACCACCTCAGGACTCTCTCCCACTCCTCCTCCCATAGGGGAGGGATCCCACCTAAAGGGGTAACTCTACCACTCTACCTGCCTACATCTTCGTAGACTAAACTTTACTACTGCTCACTGCTGCACTTGCGGTTGATGCTGATATGGCCTCCAAATGTCATCTTATGCTTACTCCTTACTGTTATTCACTGTGTACACTTTGTATGCTAAATTGTATTATTACCATTGATAATCCATGTTATACTTGCCTAGTTTATTTTACACATGTCCCGATATTTATGTATTCCTTAAAGTGTTACTAAACCCAGAACCCTGCATTCACTATGTCTGGTCTCCCATGGTACACACAACATGGAAATGCAATTACTTTAGTAAATATAAGCTGCTAAATACCTTTTCTCATCAGCAGTTAGAGCAGGCTTGTGACTTCAGCTAAGCACTGGTCAAAGCTTGTAGAAGGAGTTTTCTTTCTGCTCTAGGAGGATGCAAAACCCCTTACTTCTGTCTGAACAGTGCTGATTGGCCCTGTGCTGATCACATGCATTCACATGCAAAAAAAAAAAAAACCTCTCCAACAATACAGGGCAGATCCTGACTTCAAAGTCAGGATCCACCCCAGAGTCTGGAGCTGCACCTAGCTCAGCCTCTTAGCAAGGCACTGAGAGCCTGAGCCAGCAACTGTAAGGGACCGCCTGGCGGTACCACTAGCACTCCACTGAATAGGCGTCCCCAGCGCACGGAATCTAAGTCCCAGGGTGCTTGTTCACCAGGGCCCCTGATGGTGGGGATGGACTTGGAGCCCCCCGAGACCAGGTCGTGGCTACTGGGTGCGTCCGTCAGTGGTAGTGGTATGCGCCAAGGGCTCCCACGGGGAAGAGTCTGATGTGAGGAGGTCAGAAGACCCCACTGCAAGGGATGGATGGATGATTTAGCAAGGATCAGACGGGCCGGGTCGGTAACAGAGAGGACGGCAAGGTACAAGGCAGCGGGCATAGAATGGTCGGGTCACACGCCAGGTCAGCAACAGCAGGTCAAATCCAATCAGGGGCATTCAAGAGAGAGGTCAGGCAAAGCAAGGGTCAGAATAGGAGAAAGCAGCAAGGTCAGGTACAATCCGGGTCAAAACTTACAAAGGTACAGGTTCACAGGTTCACAGGATGCAGGGAAGACCAGAAGGCACTGAATGACAGCTCAGGGCCATTTAAATATCCCGCCCTGCGCTGCCATTGGTGCCCAGCGGGCGGCCGCGGCTTCTACTGCGCATGCGTGAACTCGAACGCCGCGGCCGGCCCGGACCTAGTGCCCGTGTCCCTGCACAGGGCGGTGCACTGCGCCTGCGCTGGGACCATCGCGGCAGGGATCGAGGAGATCCCTGACAGCAACTCCCTCTCCCTCCACAGCCCAGTGCTCCAGTGAGCGCAGGGGGGTGGCAGACCAGACAGCGATGACTGACAGTCTCATTCTCTGCTCAGAGAGGCTCTGAGAACTCAGTGATCAGCAGTCATGTGATTGCTGAGTTCTCACACTTAGAGCCGGCGGGGGATAGATGCTACATGGAACCGATGCTGCATCCACCTAGATAACTATCATTTTGGAGAAAAAAATCCCACACTTCTCTTTTAATATATTGTGCAATGAGAGCTATCATTTCTCTTGGACCAACCTTGGTGATGTAGAGAGAAGATGATGTGTGGTGCAGTAGGAGAAGCTGGCTCTTACAGACAGAGAAGAGACCTCGGACAGGGATCACAGTGGCCCAGCTTAAAGGGCATTTTTTTCACATTTAGATACATTATCACGGCATAAAGCTAGTTTGTGCACAAACGTACACATGGACGACTGGAGTGCTAGACTGTTATTGCATGAGATTTATTATATTTTGGTTATAGGTTTATTGATGGGTTTATTGATTTATTAATCATATCAACTGTTGATGCATATCGTTTGGGTACATTATCATGGCATAAAGCTAGTTTGTGCACAAACGCACAGGTTGAAGATTGGAGTACTGGACTATTGCATGAGATTTATTTATGTACAACTGTAATAAACAATCTCTCACGAGCAGTATATAACTATAAATATCAATACAAGAAGCGACACGCACTACCACATACTCCTAACATGTGCGTGAACAAAAATTATAAACTCAGAAACTAAAAAAAAATTAGCTCACTTATTAATAGAAACAAACAATAATGTAAACATAAATCAATAGAAAATAATGAATATAAATCATAAAATCAAAAGTCTTAAATAGTGATTTCTTAAACTTGAATGTGTTTCATATTTTATCTCTTCATGTCATTTAATCCTCCACCAAAAACAAACAC